CACCATGAAGAACCCATACAAACTGGGAGACCAAGGTGCCGTTTATTTCAAATCAGTGCTTTAGCTTTATCAAGTATTCTTTCCACCTGCCACCAAAGTGAAAGATAAGCGATTTGAAATCTCCCTCATCAATCTCCATGAAACCACAAACGGTATGTAGTTTTATTGTATTCACAGTCACTGAAGGCTGAAGGCAATTATACTTTTTCAGACAGTCTCGCGGAGGAAGTGTCAGAATGATCCTCACTCCTGTTTTTTATTTCAGTCTTTTATTTTATCTCTCAGGAGTTCTGACTTTTTTTTAAGGCAATGGTAGGACATAAAACAAACAGAAATAAAATAAAAAATGGAGGACTGCCAGAGACGTGGATGAATAAAACATTTACACTTCTGTCTGAAGGCAGTGAAAACAAGACAAAAGTTTATTCATGTTAACAGGTTCTTCAGATGTGACGTGAGAAAGCAATGACAAAGATTATATTAAACAATTAGCACTTTCTCAAAGAAGAGAGAATAGGCTTAGAGACAAAGGCGTAATTGGATCTAGCTATTTTAATGCGACCTGGCCACAACAACATATGCAGGTGTAATGGTAAAAACCAGTGCAGTCAGTCTTGATTACCAGGCATTGCGAAAACATTTCACGTGAAAAGTCAGAAATGACAACCATGCCTTCTGTGTGAAGTTTTCTTCTTTGGCATTAATGATGCATTCAAACAGAATCCCAGAGAGCAGCTGAAAAATAACCTTTCAAGACTTTTATCCGATATTCACACGCTCTCAAACCTCTGAGACACCAAGGCCACAGCTTTGCCACCTTTCTGGACCATATTATAACATGTAAAGATGTGGCAGATTCAAAAATTTAAGATCTTGCACTGGTCCTTGTGAAGTTAGCAGACCTTCTGGGTTCATGTTTGCCAGAATTTGGAAAACTAGAAATGGCATGTACACATTAATTATGGCTTTCACTGCCAGCACCTTCACAGACTGTACAATAACTGCTTGGAACCAAGAGATATAGCTGACAGAGTTTGGCAGCAAACACCGCTGCTGAACAGAAATCCAAATTTTAAAACTACTCATACTTCTTGATAGTAGATTGCTTTGTGCATAACAATTAGTTATGGACAGAGTTTAGAAAAAAACGTCCCTGATATTGCATATAACAGCCAGAAATACAGTATATGTAGCAACTGGATGGATTTTAAACAAAGCCTACATATTCTGCATGCAAGATGATACTACATTTTGCTCTGAAACAGTGTCTGTGACGTCCTGGTGTTCACCGAGCCAGGCCCAAAACAACAACTGTGTTTGGTTTCCCTGGGAACAGTAATACCCATACAACAGAATACACCACAGGCTCTTCCTGGCAAGAGTAGCTCAGTCTAAGTAAGACAAAGAAACAACGTAGTGTTAAAGAAACCAATAAAAGTAGAGTCAATTTCACACAATGTGTATTATTGGTATATTATAACTGGATGTGGTTTATTGTATCTGTAATACCAACAGGGACACAAAGCAATGGCTGTTCCAAACTCTGAAATCCATCTGAGGTATTCAGTTTATCTCGTGAACTACATATGACATAAACACTCAAGATAAGCAAATGCATAGCTACACACCTTGAGTTGATACCCGAGGCTACTTAAATGTGAATAAGCTCAGACTTTTTACATTTACAACAAATATAAGCAGGCACGTGGTTAAACTTCAGAAGATGCATAAACAAGGGTCTAAACTAGAATACTGCATATGTAATTATCAAAGAGAATCAGTTTTATGAATTTTGTGATAATTAAGGACATAGATCAAACAATGTCCCCATTTTTTTACATGAATTATGAAGTAGTCTGGCAAGTAGTCTCTCCTGTTTATAAACTTTAAAATAATATGGAAATCATTCTGCCACATTCATAAGTAATGAGGAAATGAATGTCTTATGGTTGGGTGAAGGGTGAAAAATTGGTAAACTCTGAGCACCTCTGTCTCCTGAGTAGTTGCTCTAACCATTTTTCCCTAATGGAAAATATTTATGGAAATTTTCATTGAAGTCAAATGGGATGAGGTCAACAGGCGATTGATTTAATATGGAATGACCCATCCGCAGTTCATTAAATGAATTTCAGCAGGGATATAAATAAATCTGGAGGGCACTGTGTATCAATAATGTCAACATAAAAAACATGAGCTGAAAAACTAAATTTAATCATTCGGAGAAAATGAAACAAACATTCTGGGGTAGGATTTTGTATTTCCCATAAATTAAACAAGTCCAGTGCTGACATATTGGGAGAGGAATTTTGTGCATGTCATAAGAAAAATAGGCAGAGTGAATCTGTATTCTAAACAAAGTCTAAAAGGACGTTTTTCCAGTTTGACATCACTAGCAGGCTGTGTAGAAGCAAACCATTAAATGAACTTTTAAGTTGATTATCCGGTAAACAGTGCAGTAATATAAACCTCATGGCTGCATTTCCGATGCACTCTCACAAATTATGCCAAACTATTCAACTCTTGTCCCTTTTTTTTAAGCCTAAAATGATATTTCGTTACTGAGAAATAAAACACAAACCAAACACAATATCATGTGAATCAAAGACAGAATAATTGAGGCCTGCATTCTACACAGTAACCATGCACAGATGCTAGTGGTCCCAAGAATGCTAGTTGCATGACTACTATACTATTTTGTTTCATGTGAATGAATGTTTCGAGAAAGACAAGATATGTTTTTCAACAATTATGGTGCTGCTGGAGAGAATAATTGAGATTTCAGTGAGAACACACAAAGGATATGACTCAAATATGTGGTTCATCATGCTCAATCTATTGTGGCAGTGACCGGAAATGAACTTTGGAAAAGACAATGACCATTAAGAACAAGTGATGAAAATTAATACAGACATGACTTTCTTTTAGTAAAATCATTCTCCTCCACAATACAGGGTATGAGTCATCAACATGTTTGCTTGCAAATATGACAATTCAGCTATCAGCGGTGCATTTTTACTTTCTAATCGATTAGTTGGACCAGTTTGACATCTTTTTCCCCATTTCTTGAGCAGATGGTGACAGTAGTCCTCTTCGACCAGGGTTGAAATGCCCCGTTTTAGAAGATGCTTTAACCATGCAAAAATGATAAGTTATTAAAAGAGAATCCAAATTAGTGAGCACTATAAAAGTGGCACCTACTACACTGCTCCTCAGTTCAGTTTAACTGCATTTAGACTGAACCAGATTCCACGAGTTGTTAACTGAAGCAATACTTCTTTGTTCCTTTAAAAAATTACAACTCAGTACTTGAATGGAGCTGAAACACACTAAAGTAACCCTTTCGTAAACAAAGCAATGATACAGCTAGCTAACTGTACAAAGGACTAGTGAACATAAAAAAATGATAACACCTAAAAAAGGCTTGAAGGAATGAAACTCTCTCTATGGTTGAAGACCAGTGGTCTAACAGAATGATTTCTGATTTTGGCTGCCAGCACAACTTGACCATGGCTGACTGGCTCACTCTTTGCCACACCAAGCCAATAAAAATCTGCTCCCGAGTTAGTTCTAAGTGCAGACAAATATATGGGACTATTGAACACAGGGTTTATGGGTATTTTATTACATTTTAAAGAAAAAAAAACTACCTGCATTCATAAAAAGCTGCCCCTAGCAATAGATTTTGAGATTGGGTGGGAAAAAATAGTTATGCTAATGTGACAGGCCAGCCTCTAGCCAGGTGGTTTACAAAGCCTGAGCACATGGAAAATGTTTTTTCTAAAAGGAATATAATACTGCATATTCTGTATATTTTAAAGACAGTGTGTATGTTTTAATTGATCCTTCCATTTTCTAATTGCTTCACCCAATTCATGGTCACTGGGGAGAAGGAGCTTAAACCAGCTAGTAATAAGTGCAAGGCAAGATATTTTTAATCATCGTTCATTATTTTGACATTGTGAGCAAGTTTATAGGAATCAGAAAAAAGGAATCCATAGACATAATTTGTACAATACAGCAAGATGAGAGTCCATTGGTGCAATTCGTTAATTTGGCATTTCTATAGGATAATACATTTCCCCTTTTAGAGGCTGTTATAAAACAGGCACACGATATGCTGTCCTTAAGCAAGTTTATTTTAATAAAAGTGTTTTTTAATGTTCACTTTTTTCCCAAGAGTGCATGTTTTTCCACATTTGCATTCAAAAGTCCAGTCGCAATCCCAAAGCAACTTTCAGGAGCTGACAAAACTGCTACGACGATTGAAATAATGGGGACACTTCAGGGAGACCAGAGTGCAGAAGCCCAGAGTGGAATTTAGCCAGGTGACATATAGGGGTTAGGGCCCCAATGAGTTCTGTTGCTCGAGCTGTCAGTTTACTGTCCAATCAATGCTAGATTGATGAGTTGTTGCTTTTCTGGGCAAAGATGTAGCAGATTGCAAAGGTAGCTAGCTAATCCATTGTGGCTAGCAGTGCAAACCCATCCTTTGACACTGCATCACAGCTGCCAGGCCAGCAGCACAATAAGTCAGGTGGGTAGCTGCGTCAGCATGCGTAGGCTGCAAAGGAACAAGTAATAGGTTTATTCCATGCTGAAAAAAAGAAGAAAGAGAACACAACGTTTCGGCCGTGGAGCCTTCTTCAGGTTGCTCACACCTGAAGAAGGCTCCACGGCCGAAACGTTGTGTTCTCTTTCTTCTTTTTTTCAGCAGGAAGCAGCACAATAAGTCTGACACGTCTGCCAGCGCATCCTGATTTTGTAGTACAGCTCTGTCGTAGCAACAAAAGGTCCAAGCTTCTGTTATTTTATTTCTGGCCAGTCAGAAACACTTCACAGTACATTTATCAACTGATTTCCGTAGTATATACCATGCTTTTCCACTTTAATTTCTAAGAACTTTCACAGGCACAGGACCTTCATCAGTAACCTTTGCCTCATACGTCTTTGGACAGACAATCTCGTCATTTATTGACTATCGTTTCCTTTTTTTCCCCCAGATCCCTGCAGAAGCATTCCGGCAGCCAGGCCCCACCAGGATTCCCAAACCGAAAGGCTGCAGTTCCGCTAAAATAACCAGCGGCACTGTCAACCCAGGCCAATGCAAAAACTATCTTCACAGCCTTCCTCACGCTGGCAAAGACCCCACTTTAAGACATGGATCCGCCAAAATTTGAACTCCTTTTTGCTATTTTATTCCTGCAAAAGTAAGAAAAAAAAGCTGGATAACAGTGCAGCATTGTGGCATGACAGTAGTTAGTGCAGCTTCCTCATAGCCCCTGGGTCCTGGGACTGACTCCTAGCTGCGGCGCCTTCTATGTGCAGTTGCATTCTCTCCCCGTGTCCACGTGTGTTTCCTCTACGTTCTCGAATTCCTCTCACGGTGCGAAGACCTGCTGTCCAGCTCGTGCCTGTGTGCTTGAACCACGCGATGTCCAGTCTGCCCCCTTATGTACTGCGCCTGCCGGGCTAGGCTCCCACTCACCACGAGCCTCCTCTAATGATAAATCGGGTACTGAAAATGGATGGACAGGGACTAATGGAGGGTTCATTATTGCTTTTTTTCCCCCCGAAACTCCCACAGGAATCCTTAAACAAAGGATCTCTGCAGCTACAACATGTACTGTATGTGCCATGGAATCTGATTCACAGGAAGGTGCTAAATACATAACATGTATTAACATATAGGATAATCTCTAATGTCTGGGGTTGCAGCAAAGCAAAGCAAGAGATGCAAGTGAATGACTTAGCAGTATATAGATATCAAGTCTTTAACATCTCAGTTTCAAGTTTAATACATTACTGTATGAAGACATAAAATTAACATTAGACAAGGGACACATTAATACACTTAATGATGCAGGATTTAATCTCCAACACCTTTAAGATCAACACTTGCCTAGTTTTCATATACACCCCCTCCCCCACATCAGCAGTTTCTCCATCTGCAATTCGGTAGCAGTGTTAGGACAAGCCTGGCTTTACAGCATTCTCAGAGGCCCAAAGCTCAATTCACAATTCTTGCACGAATGTTTCTCTCCTTGGTACCCATCACAGTTTCCCACCATCCTGCATTTCTTTATGCATCCCAGGTCTTTCATCGCTCCACATGGGTAAGGGTGCCCGCGGTACTTCACTGCCATTTTTGGGGAATTATATGTGTAAAAATCATTTTACCCTTGACAAAACAAAGGAAAATGCGTCGTCACAACACAGTACCACAGCATCATTTCATCACCAACTTCACCATCAGATTCCCAAATCCCCACTGTCTTCACACCATCAAGAACAATCATGTACTGGAGTCTCACCACATCTTCCTGAAGATCGCTGCACTCAGAAACTATTAAAGAACATGCTGTTTGTTTAATTTCATACTATTCCTTTTTATACAGAAAACTGTGCAGCACTATTATCGGTCATGTTCTTTTGTTATTTAATATATTTATGCCAATTTGCACAGTGTATAATGTATTCCCATGGTTTATATATGGTACAGGAAAGCTTTTTCCCAGTGTCTGTTTTTTTTTTTCTTTATCCATGGACAGTTCATGAACATATCCCTTGTGAATATGGAGGACTGGGTGCAATAGCAATGTTATGCAGCAATACTACCATATGAAGTCTATTCTGTTTAAGATGGTGAACAACATTTTCCTGGCTGTACAAACATTCATATAACAACATGTATGGTATTAAAAGTCTTTTTAATTAAGAACTAAAGTGTTTGGCATTTTCTCTTCACATCATGCAAGGCCTGCCTGGAAATACTCTTCCACAATAAACATTGAATGTCTCTTTTTTAATATATTGCGAACTGCAGTAAGGATCCATCCAACATACATTCTATATCATAAAACATTGTGGTCCCAGTTTAACAGCTTATTCACATCCAAAACAATGTGATTTCAGAAGGTCAAATGATCAATTCGGAGCAACATCTTCTATATGGACTGGTGGCAATATAGACACCATATAATAAATGAGCCAGGTGCTGGACAAAGTCTATGTTTGTAGCAGAGAAAAAAAACACCCTAGAGGATCTGTAGGAGCTAAACATCCCTGATGAGAAATAGCAATTCATAATTGTTATGTACACAACCTACTCCACACATTCAAAGCAATAAGTGATACTTCAAACATGTCAAGCATGATGGTGGCAGCGTTATGTTACAGTGTTATGTTTGGGGCGGAGCGGTGGCTCTGTGGTTAAGGATCTGCGCCTGTGGCTGGAAGGTTGCAGGTTCAAATCCCGAAGCCACAAATCCCTACTCCGTTGGGCTCCTGAGCAAGGCCCTTAACCCCAACTGCTCCAGGGGCGCTGTACAATGGCAGACCCTGCGCTCTGACCCCAGGCTCTCTCCCTGTCTGTGTGCCTCATGGAGAGCAAGCTGGGGTATGCGAAAAGACAATTCCTAATGCAAGAAATTGTAACGGGTTAATAAAGTGATGTTAGTTCTATTTCTCGGCAGCAGGAAATGGGAAGTTTGTCAAGACTGATGGGAACATAGATGGAGTAACCTACTGGCAAATTCTAGAGGAAAACTTGCTTCAGACCTAAAACTGGCACAAAAATGCAGCTTTTATCAGGACAATCACCCAAAGCAACAAAGGCAAAGCCACGCTGGAGCAGAAAAAGTGACTGCCTGCCCTTGAGTAGCCCAGATGCCTATCATGAATCTATGGAAAGTCTTAAAAACTGCTGAAAAACCTTTATTATACAAGGAATGGGCAAACACTGCACCTAGTCAATATGCGCAGCACGTAGAGACTTAAACAGAAATTTTAATTGCTGCCAAAATGTTCCCACCAAATACTGAGTTCACAGGACTGAATGCTTACGCAATCAACATTTTTTATTTTTTTATTTTGTTTATGTTCACTTTTACTGTAAGTTATCTTACCCTTAGAAGTCTTGAGTTTAAGCACTCCAGTTATGCATAAAATATATATATATTTAAAGCATCTGCATCATTTTGTAACTTCGCAAAATACTACAGGAAGGATTTGAATATTATTGCAAGGAGCTACGTTTTATACACCTAGAAAGATGTAGCACTGTGAGCACACTTTAAGGACACCATGAAAAATAAAGAACACTCATTATGAACAAAATAGCTCATTACTAGAAAAAAATGACTGAATTGTAAAAAAATACATGGAAAAGTGACAGAATAAAGTAGTGTAACAAAACATGTAGACTACAACAATACTGTAAGTTATACAAAAATGTAAGATATAGCAATTGCCACACTGCAATAGCTCATGAGATGAAGGATTAATGCAACCCTAATGAATAATAAACTATATCAAAACAAAAAGTTAAATGGCATTTAAATTGTTGCACAATGAAAGCAAAAGTCTTTTTTAGAATTCTGAAATAAAATTCTAATTCATAAATCAGAACTAAGACGAATCTTTTAGCAGTTTTAAAGATAAAACAAAGCTGTACAACAGCGTCATCTGCTGGGCAGTTTCTGTCTGTTTACCATGAATATCAACAAATCACACGTTACCTTATAAAACATTGCATTATTTGTGTACACTATTTAGTACATCTACATGTCTGTCTATAGCTCGGTATCTCAACTACCATATTTTAATAATGAAATCTTTATGGGTTTATTCCATGCTGAAAGGAAAAGAGACTACGTTTCGGCTGTGGAGCCTTCTTGATATGTGAAGACACTTTTCATTTCAGCATGAAATAAACTTCACGGTAAAACGTTAAACAGGTTAAAGTTTACCTGTTCATTTACAGCCTGCGCACACTGACGCAGATACTCAACGTCTTTATAGTTGTTACTAGCTGGCACTGAATATTAAAATTACACTTTCGTAAAAGGTGAATATTCTTCAGAGAGAGAAATCCGTTCTGTATTAGTTAAACACTGTAAAAGCAAGACATTGGGAAAGCAGTAAATTTACAAGGCGCCTAACGCCGCTACGGGAAGTGAAATCGCAAGACTACAGATACCATAATGCATTGCGATCAGAGCCACACGCGCTATTCCTGTGTGGTTTAGTTTGCACTATAAACCGATAATGTTCTGGTAAGCGACGATTTCTATATCAAACAACGCCCCATTTAGAATATACTGTACAAATTACTTCTAGAGCTCACAAAATACAATTAATAAACCCAGACACCAGAGTAGTCACAATCAGCTAGTTTGTCTCAAGAGTGCTTGTCCCAGCAGTTGGATACAAACAGTAGCAGCCAACGGAACAGCTCGCAAGAAAAGATGAAGACTATAATAACAACTTATTGTAGCAGTATTATGTAAAAAAAAACAGGATTCCAAAAATAAACGTGCATATCTGTGACTTACCTGAATTATTATTTCCTTGCCACCACTCATCTCCCAGTTCGTCTCCCATCTTCAAACCAAAATTACCGCTGATGAAGGAAGGTGTTTTTTTTTTCGTAACGGCAGATTCAAGAAAGCCCGCGTTAATCATATGAATGTAATATACAGTATAAAAAATATATATTCATCCAAAACGAGTTTTACGTCGTCATGGCAAATCTTAAAAAGGAAAATGTATATATTTTTTAAATGTACGTGAGCAACATCCCTTGTAAAAAAAATATTGGAAATGCAGATGTTAAAACAAAAGATTGTCTCTAATGTTTAAAACCCAACACGTGGGTATAGAGGAAAGTTTGTAGTGCTTTTAGTTTTGCTTTGAGAAAACGTGAATTGCTTTAAATCATATGAAATCGGAATAAACACCAATATGCACAAAAACGAGGACAGTCAAAACATAGACATTATACGTAAAACTAGATACGTTTCACCTTTGATATTTTGTCTGATGTATATAGATGAGTCTCTGCCTCTGAATTCGTGTCGTGAAGAATAATTACCTCCACCGTTCACCAACATTTTTTAAAGTCTGCATGTCAACTACGTTGAAGTTCAAGTTTTTTTATCATATGACCCCGAGTACAATGAAATGCTTACTTGTGTGTTTTCCTCACATGGCAAATGAAATACAATATGACAACATTAAATTGGAAAATGACATAACAAATGGCATCAGAATCAGAGAAAGGAGCAGGGTAGCAGCTATCGTTTTAACCAACATTTAGATAACAGCTGTGTGCAAAATTCAGCAGTTAGTATTTTCAGTTCAGTGCAAAACCAGTGGGGTGTAAGTGGGTGAAGATTTAAAGGGTAGACCTTAGGAGTCTTTTGGCTGTAAAGTAGAAGCTTTATTTGAACTTAGAGGTTCTGGGATTTCTACTTCTAAATCTTCTACCAGAAGGAAGATTAAAATAATCCATTCACAGGGTGGTTTTGGTCTTTGACTATATCAGTAACTTGATTATTAACTAGACTAAAACAAGCATTTTAATTCACATAATCTCTAACCAGAAGTAATGATCGGAAAACAAACATTTGATTTGTATTTTCTTGCATACAATCACCCTTTGTTAGCTTTCGAGTCGTAGCACATGATTAGACAAGGCATCTATCTACCTTTAATTATACCCGTACTCTTAACAGGTGACCAATTTCGTAAATACGGTGGAACTATCAGAAAGAGTAACATTTCACTACGAAACCAGTATTGTCTCCTCCCCAAATGAAGACTCGCGGTTTCTAGTCTCTGAGCGACTACAGCGCTCGCCGGCAGCTCAACCAATGAGCGATCAGTGCGGCCGGGGCGCTGCCCAATCAGGTTGAAGCGGGTCCGTGGAGGGACCCAATCAGGTTGAGCGCCGATCTGTAGCCACGCCCGAGCGGGAAATTCCTCCTGCCGGCTGGAAAGGTGCCGTTGTGTTTTTCTGCAGAGCAAGTGTTGCAGAGGTACAGCATTGAGATGGGTAGGCGAGGGTCAGCAAGCGGGAATTAGCAGTGCAGGTCTTAGTGCTTAGAGATCATGCACAGAAAACCAGCGTAAGCTCGGGGTTTCGAATTTAGAGAAACACGTGGATCTGTTATTTGGTCTTTTTTATTTTGTCACATTGTAATGGAAATTATTTGGGACTGAAAAGGGCGCACAGGGGTGGGCTCCCCATGCGTAAAAACAGAAAAAAATTAATCCTGCTAAAGTTAGGGTTTGTTTTTTTATGTATCTTTAACAGTGCATGGTGTCTTGCTAAAACATTGCGAGAAACTCCTATATTTTGCTTTTAGTTTAAGGCAGGTTTACTTTTATTTATTTTTTTTTAAAATGATGGCAACAGGTTTTCAGGAGAGACGAGTCCTGGTTGAAATTCCTGCACCTCAACCAAAAATTACAGGTAAAGACAATCTTTTTTTCCCCCCTTTCGGATGAAGTCAAGAAGTAAGAGACAGGAGTTTTGTTTCCCTCCATTCCTGGTGCATCTTGGGGGAGGGGGGTGAGGACATTACCTGCAGCGAGCGGTCTTTACGGCCTTAAATGTATCTGCTTTTCGAGGAAGACGACTCGAAATTGGACGTCACGACGTTTGCGATTTTATGATTATGTTAGTTATCAAACATATATATTTAAGAGGAAGATATGCCCTTAGGTAATCTACATCGTCGCCGGTAGGGCTGAGGATGACGTGAGCCCCTTTTTTTCCCACCAACTGGGACAATGACCAAGGTCGTGTCGTTTTATGTGAACATAAATTAACTCTGCGCCTCTTCCCAACACTTCTCAGTTAATAATGGTCAGTAGCTGGTGTTTGTAAGGAAATGTTTACATCAGGAAGTTATTTCGCGCACTAGTTCTTTCATTTGCTATGTGATGAGACTTTTTTCCTACTGCTGTTAACAGCGTGTTACACTGCAGACGGGTGCATTTGGACGTTGTTGTCTCATCAGCAAAATGACAAGACCCTGTGAACCATTCTGGGTTTTTTTTACTGAAAATCATTTTATAATATTTTAAAGTTGGGGCAAATTAATCTACCACGAGTTAGTTACGCCCTTCTAAATGTTAATATTGTTTTATGAACAAAGACAAGAATACATAAATCTACGTCTTATGAAGGATTGTTCACTTTTGATATTTTACCTGGTGTCCCTGTGCTTTACCTTACTGGGTCAACAGCTTCTTCAGGGGAACTTGACGTATACTTCTAAATGGTGTTTTCAGCTTTTTTTCCTTTTAAAATTCTTGCGAATCGAGTGTATGCTCTTATCTAGAGGTTATTAATGAAAAATAATTTTCATGTTATCTCAGCTCATATAAGAAGATCCTACTTCGAAGCATTGAATTACAGGATGGGATCATCGCCCTATAAGAATAAGAGCCTAGCTACAGAGGAACGAGGCCTGTCAGGTAAGTTATGGCCTCCAACTATAAATGTAGAGTTTCCAATCATTCTTCAGTTTGTGCGTATACATTATTTTGTTGTTGCTGGGGAGTTGAGAAGCAAATGTACTTCGCTTTGCTTTTCACAAGCTGAAAACCGTACAATTTGCTCTTATTATCTCATCTGGCCTGAATCATGTTAATTTATGTCTAGTAAAATCATGGATATTAGACCTTAAAGCATTTGAAGCAGTTTGTTCTTTTGTAGTTCAATCCATAGTCCCCCATTATTATTTCATCCTGAACCATAGCCACACAAATCTGAAGGTATAATGTAGTCCCCAACCCTGAATCGCAGTCCGGTCGGTTTTAAAGGTGACCATTACACTGCTGGTTTTTAAAGATCTGGAATGCGTCATTTGTGATCAGTTGCAGGAATAATTAAGTTAAGTTGCTTATAGTTGAAAACAACAGTCTTTAGCTCTCAAGGACCAGGGTTCCTTTCGTTCAACAACTTACTTGCTTGGTTTGTTTAAAGATTTGCGAGAAATGTTAGTGTTCCAAATCTGTGGACGTTCTGAGTCTTTAGTTTAGGATGACTGGTGCTTATCAGCCTGTGGCTGTCCAGGGGGTGGGTTGGAAGACCCCTGTCATGACCCTTCCATGCTTATTTCTTAGGCGCTGTGAAGTCCTGCATAAAGAAGCAGAAACTCAACCAGAAGAAGGAGCTCCAGCTGATGGCCTTCTCTCGGGAGCAGCTTGTGAACCTGGTCAGCTCCCTGATGCTACTGGAAGAGGTGAGTGTCTGTGTGACTTGGGGAGACCTTCTGCCGCACCCACCCACATGCCAGTCCAGATCACAACGAGACTTTGCCAGCTCAGGCGTGGGCCATCTTCGCGTGGGCGAATCTTCTCTTTTTTTTTTTTTTGGTGTGTTCCGTCAGTCCGCTCCGGTTACGTGACGTTTCGCCTTTCGTCCGTGGCGCAGGAGAGGAGCCCCCCGGCCTCGCGTCCAGACCTGAAGCTCCTAAAGGAAAACCTGCAGCTGAAAAAGACACACGTGTACCGCTCCATCCCTTATTCCCGCCTGGGCTCCAACCGAGATGCCCACTGCTACAGGAAGGCCTACCCCCACCTCGTGGCTTTTAAGGTCAGTGATCTCATAAGCAGCCCCAGTAGGTCCCCGGCTGTCTGAGACTGGGCACTGGATTGGAACTGAAACACTCCTGGGCAAATGCCATAGAGCCGGCGAAGATCAGGATCTCTGTGGAACCCAAATGAATTCCATTTTCATTTAATCCCTTTTATTTACCAAGACATGTGTTACGCCTTTACACCCTTTTTTGTTTTGGCACACTTTCAACAGCATTACCTTGAGAATTATATTTCTGTTCTCACTTTGCAGATCCGATCCCGTCCTTAGTGATTTTGTTGTGTGTGGGAATTCCACATTGTCTTTTTAAGCTATTGTGGTATGTGTTGCCTCTGCCTAATGGATTCTGGGACTTGCTGGCTCTAATTTCTATTTTTACATTATATCTTGCTCATGCTTTATCTATCCCAGAAAGATATGACTAGCTGTCAACATCAGTATAAAACAAAAATTCCCTCAAGTCCTAGATCTAGTCTGTTCTATTTTAGGATTGACTCTGCCAATGTATCATATCAATGTCGCAGGACATTGATATGAATTCTTGGGAAACTACAATTGGTTTAGGTATCTGTACATTTAAACAAAGCGTTTTTTTATAATACTTTGCCCTACTTGTAAGTAGTACATGTAACCAATTTTACAATTCTTGTCTGTCTTTCATTTGCATTTTCAGTGCATCATATATACAATAACTTAATTTTTATAGCCTGTTGTGTAGATATTTTTGCTGTAGGCAAACTGTATGTAAGGACACTAGATATTTAAGTTTAGAAGTTCACTCTGCAAGCTTTTTTTCAATCAAACCTATAGAGACTGTGGTAAAACAAAACACGCACAGGTACCATCACAAGGATTTAGAGGTGGCAAATTTATTAAATTATTAGTACCTTAAACATTATGTATGAATGCAATTTCACTTTTATTCCTAGGGAGTGTAGGGAAAAGCATCAGAGATGAATCAGGTAATGTCTGACAGCATTGGAAAAAGCCATTTTGAGTAAAGAAAAGTACCCTAAACATTGAACAAACACTTCTTGTAGATTGTTCCGGAAGATCCCGTTTCTCCTGGAATAGCCAATGGTGTAACGGCTAGTTTTTTTTAAACTTGTCCCCAAAAAAAGAATCCTTTCAACTTCATCCACTGCCTTGCATACGACACTGATTGTAGGTCCGCATGGTGTGTCTTGAAATAGTCAGTCTGGTCCCAGCCACTGTTAATCATTCATGGTTCCTGTGATGGCCATTCAGAATCCTCCAATTACTTAATTACCCTTCTGCTCTCCCCCTGTCTTGTGGCCCGAGGCCCTGTCTTTTTCTGGTTCCATTTTGTTCCCGTCCATCATTCCCAGAATAACTCTTCGCCGTTACGGCCTGTCCACCTCTTGTCATCTTTTCATAAATTACTAACAGTTTTTTGGGGATCAGTGACATGCTCAGGCTGTCTCTCCAGGCTCCCAGGGCGAGTAGTGTATGCAACGATTACTGTAGTCCCCCAGGAACAAAATGCAATTGTGGCCATAATGCCAAAAAATAAATAAGCACCTCAATACGGACTCCGTCCATGTCTGTGCAGTACTTGATGTGTTGCAGAATTCCACAGTGTGTTCATCAGGCATCGCAGGTCAGTGAGGCCCGATTCTATTGGCGTTGCACAGGCACACGGCTTCACTTTGTCAGGGGAGGTTCCAGCTAATGAGGAAAGAGAGGAACTAGGCTGTCACATGTGAGCCGCTGCCCCTGGCTCCATGTTGACGTGAGACAGGCAGTTTGGAGAGTGCCAGCTGTCGTAGAAACCGAATCAGGAAGAAGTACCGGTCACAAGAATGGCATCGAGTGACGTTTCCCTCTGCTGTTTCGTCTAGAAAACATGTCTTGAAGGGGGCAGGCTGCTGCTGCAGAGCGAGATGTGGGAAGCTGCTGTGGAGTATGGGCTGGCAGCCTGGAGGTTCACCAGTGAGCTCCCCCAGTGGGACACCAGCAGCCACAACGGCCTGAGAGAGCAGTGCTACAGAACACTGGCCGCTCAGTGCTCAGCGGCCCTGCAACACAGCGGCCTAGGAATGGCAAAATGTCTGGAGCTGAGAAGGCGGTAGGTTGAGGGTGGCTGGTCTTTTTCACTTCTCTTTTTCTGTTTTGAGTTGTTTTGAAATAAGTGCTGAGGTTCTTGTGCCCGAGAAGTCTTTTACAGCCCTAAACCAAACTTGTTAATTACCGTGTACTTGGAGAAGTCCTCTTATTTTTCTCAAGGTTAAACAATAGGTTTGCCTTAATTTGTCTCATTTCTCCATGTTTGAAGATACTGAGTCAAGATAAAAATATTTTTACGCTCAGGTTTTTCCCCCCCCAGTTTTCTGACTCGATAATAAATGACGCATACGTACGGGGTGTTGTCAGGCAACTCGCTTTATCCCCTGGTGTTCTGAGCACTTTGATTCCACTTTTTCTGCCTCCTCGGGGGACTAAATGTGTTTTAAACTGTGTCCCAAACTAAACAAGATCAGATTAATCAGAATTAAATAAAACTGCTGAAACTGAGTCCTGTTCTTTCCTTCCAGATTCAAAATAGCCTGGACACAGAGCAAACTGATCATGCCTTGTATTCAAGACCTGGAAAGAAGGATAGAGAATCTACAGTGCACCATGACTGAGTCCTGATTGATGATTGGCTGACGTGAGGAAACAGCCAAGGGACCTCCAAGAGCTTTTTAAATCGGATGTTATGCTAAAGGGAGACTTTTTTGGGGGGACAGGATACAATGAAGGGAATGATAGAAAAAATATCCTGTATAAAGGAACTTTTTAACTAGAGGCCTGTGCCCTAATTTTCTGAATAGTTTGAAGACGGTGAAAATCCTCAAAGGGACAAAACAACATAAAATCCTACTTTAATGGTTGTGGTATTGAAGCTTGGTTTGCAGACAGTGGCCACTTCTGTTCCTTTTTCATGGTACAATTGCTGAAAACTTTTTTTTATTTATTTTCTCGAACATTAGCAGTGTCCTGTTGCTGCTCTTTAGTATTTATTCCTTGTTCATTGAGTGCAGGGGGGAAAAAGTGGAATGTTGTGTGACAGATTATTACAAATATGAAATTCTGTCTAACAGGATGTGTTGAAAATGTAGTTAGTAGAATAAATCCTTCACCTGTTGCATTTAAATGTCTATATTAAGTGTCTTTAAAAGCTACATGAAAATGATGTGTGGAAGGAGGAAGATGTTGATTAAACAACTTGACAGCCATTGACTTGAAGTGTTTATAGAAAGGTTACTGTATTTTGCCAGTGTTGGCATAGACATTTCTCAGGACATAAACTAGTCTCTGTACTGGAATCTAACAAGTTACAGTGTATAAATAACCTGAGATCATACTTTGTCAGTCTCCAAGAAGGATTTCTGTGAGTCACTCTTCTGTTAGGTAAGGACTTTCTCAGTTTCTTTTGCAAGATTGTATATGGGTTTTGAGAAATATTTTATTTCCAGAAAAAACTCACTCTTTTAAAGAGGAAGAAACCGCACAAAGGGCATGACCTTTGAATTGTCATTAAGGGCCTGTGTTTTTTAAGAGATTTCTGTGTTTTTTCGTTAATGGCACTCACTGATCTCTTTCTCTAATACTTGACACAGGAAGCTCTCAATACAGTCCTGCTCAGTAGCTTATTTGACATCTAGCTGTTGATTAAAGTAAGCTTGTTGTCACATCCTGTCTTTCCAAAGGAACACATTCATTGCTCATCAGGACGTAGGAACCCAGATGGTGGTGTATTTGTCTATATGTGTACATACTAAAGAATAAAATTCTATTTGAGGTATAGTATTTGTTTCCATGTTGCTTTTCTGACTTATGCAGGGGAAATTTAATTTGCATACTCTTATGTCATTTGTGATTAGAACCTCACATGTATTACTTTAATACAGAGGAGGATAGGGATCATGCTGTTGTTGTAAGTACAGTGAGTTTAGAGCACATATACTCTTCCCAAATATATTAGTGACATCATCTTAATCTTATTCATAATCTCTTTATTGAAAATATTTGTCGTTGAGAAGCCATATATTTTCTACAATTAAATCGGTTCTTCAAATGTCACAGTTAAGTCGTTTGTAAAGTCTGAAGCGTATAATCAAATAATACAAAACCTACGTAAATCCACCTTTATAGAATTAATTGTTAGAAGTATTTTTAGGTAATAAGCTTGGAGATGGGTTTGTACAGATTATATAATTATTCCCGTAGTTAAATGTCATGCAAGAGCATTTGTATAGAATATATTCAATGCTGTTCTCTTTCTGTTTCAAAGCATGGGTTAGATTATCTGAAGAGAAATGACATGAAGATTATAAAGAAACTTGGTATTAGAACAATGAGGAAGGAAACCTCTAAACTAGGTCAGATTGAGTGGTACAATACAATATTATCCCTTAATTCACAGCACCTGCTCTGAATGAGCTGCAATAGCTTTCAGGAGATAACACTTCACTTCTACCACCTTTTGTATTTTGGGGGCATCTGTACATACCATAATTTATTATTGTGTACACTAAATAGTTGATTTGGTATGTTGTAATGAAAAACAGTACGTATATCAGCATGTAAGCATAATGGTCATAGCAGTACATAGTGTTTCTTGTAATGCAAGTCATGGAGATTGTGTAGGGTGGTAAATGTTATTGCAGTTGAAAAGGGGACACACATTTCCTAAAAAAAAACATTTGATAGGCACAGAGAACAGATAACTAAATGGAAATTTGAAAGATAACACTAGCCTCAACCACACTCAGCTAAATATAAATATGGATATTGAATACCCCTGCAAGAGCAAGGATGAAATCAATTCAGATCTTTGCATGATTAATTATGCGTGGAATTAACTTACCTTTGATTTCATAGTTTTGGAAAGGGATCAACTTCTCCATAATTCAACATACTATTTAAGGTTATTAAAAGGTAAACCTTCTCAATATTAAAAAGAATACAAGAAAAAAATAACTCAATGAATATATGGTAGGAATTCATCAATCACTATTTGATCACTGCATACTAAATTGGACTTAATCATACTTTTAGATTAGCCTCATTGTTGCTGATAAGCATAATATTTTCCCCTACGAAATCAGTCTCATCAGATATCAAATAAAACAAGGCAGTTTAGTCATTTCTACAGTCTAAAGTATATAATCAAATAAGACAGAAGCCTATGTAAATCCACCTTGATTTACTTGTATATCTAAACAATCCTTTTGAGGAGCTAATAAATGTCACATCTAGAGAAACTATTAGAGCTAGTTTCTAGTAGTAGTTCCTCCTTACGCTTAACAAATCTTTGTACAATCAGATCTCAGGTCTCTGTAATCCTGTACCCTCTGATTCTTCCTCTGCCTTAATAATAATAATAATAATAATAATAATATTCTTACACTTTTCTGGACACTCCACTCAAAGCGCTTTACAGGTAATGGGGATCCCCTCCACCATCACCAATGTGCAGCCCCACCTGGATGATGCGACGGCAGCCATAGTGCGCCAGAACGCTCCCCACACACCAGCTATCAGTGGGGAGGAGAGCACAGTGATGAAGCCAATTCATAGAGGGGGATTATTAGAGAGTGATGATTGATGAAGGCCAGGGGGAAATTTAGCCAGGACGCTGGGGTAACCCCTACTCTTTTCAAGAAATGCCCTGGGATTCTTAATGACCATGGAAAGTCAGAACCTCTGTTTTACATTTAACCCAAAGGAGGGCATCCTTTTACAGTATAGTGTCCCCTTTCACTGCACTGGGCCATTAGGACTCACACAAACCGCACGGCGAGCGCCCCCTGCTGGCCCCAGTAACACCTCTTCCAGCAGGCCTGCCGGCCAGGCTCACACCTGCTGAGCTCCAGTGGGCTGCCAGTTGTAGGTTGCAGGGTGATATAGCTGCTGCCAATGAAAATAAGCTGCCCCCCCCCCAGCAGTACATCTAGAGATCAAATTCATATTTATTAGATTTGGTTTGAAAAAGATGTTATTTCTTACATAAAACATTGGTGAAATAACAAATATAGAACCTTTCACATATGATTGCCTAGGAAACATTTGGAATGAAGGTTAAAGAAATATTATCTACATAATGTAGCTGTTTTCCTTATGGTGAGCATCTTCCTGAGCTTGAAAAGGACATTTGAGAGCTTAAATTAACCTTTGACTGAACTTGGCTATTACCAAGGGAAACTGACACAAATTTCCAAGGGATTCATCACCCTACCCCCGTCTCTCTCGTCCGACATGGGTAGCACTGCTGTGCCTGAGCCGGGTTCTGGCTCAGCTTCTGGGCTGCAATACCTTCTGTGAGGAGTTTCCATGTTGTCACAGACACCTTTATCTGTGCTGCCTTCCTCCAGCTACTCCGGTCTCTTCCCACAGTCTAAAGCTGTGCTCTCCAGGTTTGTCTGTGTCTCCAAATTGGTTCCTGTAATTGTGTGTGCTGAGCGTGTTTGTGAAGGCACTGTGCAGTGCACCAGTGTCTAACTTAGGTGAGGTCTAACTTTACATTGTGTGCCTGCCAAGCTAGGCCATGGCTCACTGTGACCATCTTTGAGCAAAGTGGCTTTGGAAATTGGATGACTGAGTACTTATTGTGAGATGTTCTACTAATATTGATAAGTAAAAACTTTCAATAAAAGTTTTGTGAATGCCAAGCAGCTTCTAGTATCTCATTTAAAGTTAAAACTGTTCTCTCACAGCAACAGATGGCAATGAACATTTTTTTTTCACTTATAAAAGCAATCAGGATGCACAATATGTAGGGTGTTTTATACAAAATTATATGCCAACACATTCTCGGAAACCCAATTAGACCATATTGCTTGTGGTTAGATTGGTTCACACTTTGTGTTACCACTGTCAGCTAGATGTCCAGCAGAATGTTATACAGATTCCCCTTTTTATTGTCCTGAAAAATAACAAAAACATATTCAATCAGACATTTTTTCATTAAGACATTTGCACAATACTGCTGATAACTTTCACTTCAGCTTTTCCAAGGATCCTTACCCATTTTTGAAAACGGAAAAACTCTGACATGTCCATGTTGCAAATACATTTTTCCAAAGTATTTTCCATTACGTTTAGACTCTGGAAGGGGCGTAAAATCGTAATATGTGGTTCTGGCCATTGTAAGGCTGTGTTATTATGAAGGTTATAATATTAAGTGCATACCAAACTGAAGCCCACGTGGGAATCTGACAGGTAAACACATTTATTTCAATCCATTGCGTCGTTTCCAGTTAGTAAAATAAACACGACGTTTATGAAAGTCTAAACATTCAACATTTAATATCAACTTCAATCACCAAATTCCAGAATTTAACTGACTTTGTCAAAGTTTACATCTGCAGAAACTCAGATGTCAAATAAAAACACATTCTGAATATTAAAATCATAATTCATTTCACTGAAAGAAAAACTGGTTTTTGGTCCAATACTAATGTCATACAGGCAGCTAAGCTAAGGGTCCTTGGTCCATAATAAACCAGCACAGATGTATTCCAGTGATAACGGGAGTTACTGGCTTGACTAGGAATTGAATCTTTACAAAAACTCTATAAAAAAGTGTTACTGTAGGTTTATTGTAAAGGTTTGTTTAACTACTATTACAACTGTGATTTAAATGTTTTAAGTGAGATAGATGTATATCTTACATTGACCTTCAAACTTTGAGATAGAGTAGACGTGTTTGAGACTTTTTTGTTCTTAGTTTTGTTTCTGGTCTAACAAATAAGTTCAATCTGCTACTCTCAAAACAAAACTAAAAGAAAAGTTCATGCACAGTGCCCATGTTAAATGGAATTTAAGATGTAAGAGTATATTATGAGGTTTTCCTCATGAAGAATGTATATGGTATATGTTTCAGCAAAAACAACAACAAAAAAAACCAGAGTGAACTGCAGGTTGGAGCTAAAAGTAACTGCCTTCTTTTGATTTTTTTGTGGCTACTTTGTCATTCAGATACTTTATCTAAAGACTGTAAAGTACAGCACTTTTTTACAATACACTAGGTTTCTTCATGAAACTTGCCCATTTTAAAAAACAAACAAACATGTTGCTCACTTCCTAATTTACTGAAAGCTTTTGGAAAGTAGAAAGGATTAAAATTCTTCTTTGACATGGGTTAAAGCAATATGCAGGTGGCTTACAAGTTTTAGAAAATAATTTAATCTCAAGTGACAACCCTTATAATTTGATAAAACCATTTTAGAGAATAGTTTGTGTATCCTTTTTACCATTTGTCACTTCACAAACATAGAACTGTATAATTGGACTTTTGTTTAATACATGTATACATATTTTATTGTTGCCATGGCTAATATTTCCTTCTCTTTTTCTATGATATTTATCACACATCAGAACTATCCAAGTGAACAGCCGGTCTTTGAAAACAACAGAAGTCTTTTTGGCTAAGACAGATCAGGACAATTTGAAGAAAAGACCGGCTTGTGTCAAGAGGTCTACTTATCTGTTGAAAGCTGTAATACCATGAGAAATGAGTTAGCAGCAGAAAAACTCCACTATCTATATCTGTGCTACTCAGTGGGAAACAAGAGCCAAGCGGTCTGTAGTGAATTTATTCCTCTCACATCTTCTCCCTCTGTTCTTTCTGTACAAAGGCCATGATGGTAAATGGTGCTACTAAATGGAAGCCCAAAGGTCAGTATGAAGTAGTTTAGCAAAGTACTTTAACACTGCAGTGAAGATTTTGTTTCCCCCTAATAGAGAGGACATAAAATGAATTAAAGATAACAGTTTCCTCTCAAATATTATCAGATTGCAGG